TAGCTTGTGTTAGATTTACTATGGCATAACCTGCCGGGGGGGGGGGGGGGGGGGGGGGGGGGGGGGTGCGGCCCCCTTCCCGGACTGGGCTAGGGGGGGGGGGGGGGGGGGGGGGCGGGCGTGGAGGTTGTGCTCCCATCTACGAACTGTGTAATGGGATGCGGGGAGATGTGTAGAAAGGGATTGAGAAAGAGGTCTAAAGCCTCCATGCAATTGTGTTCTAAGGGTCGTGAGTGTTTTGGGATGAGAGTGGCTGGATTTTAAGGGAGGGTGAAGTTTAAAGGAGAACTGGGAATTTTCAATGAAAGTAAGGTGAATAATTTGTAGGCAGGAAATGGAGAGAATTGACTTGGCCTTATGGCTGAGAAGGTCTTGACCATTTGTTGTTTAAAAGTTAGTTTAGAGCTTTCTTGTGTTAAAAGGGCAGCTGCTGCCAAGGCCCATAAACAGGGGCCCATTCTCGAGCTGTGGTGTCTAGTTATTTAAAGAGGTTTGTAACCAGGGAGAAAATATCTCCTGCCTTTTGTCCCAAAACCCCAATTGCCAATCTTTGGGTTTTGGTGATGTATAGGATAAAAGGATGAAAAAGGTCTGAGAGAGATAAAGCTGGGGCTATGAGGACAGCAGCTTTTAATCACTGGAAGGGAGAATGAATGGGCTTTGTGGGATCTAAGGGAATGGCAGGATCCCCTTTGGCTGCCCCATAAAGTGGTTTTGCTAGCATGCCAAAGTTGGGGATCCACACACGGAGATATCCTGAAAGCCCCAGGAAAGAGAGAAGTTCACTCTTTGTGGTAGGAGTAGGGAGTTCACAAATTAGCTCTTGCAATCCACCGTTATTTCTCTGGTATTGGGGGTGAGGTGAACTCCCAAGTAGGTGACTGAAGAAGAAATTTGGGCCTTGCTGGGGACACTTGATATCCCCTGGAGGCCAGAAAATTAAGGAGAGCAACAGTGTGGGCCTCTGAATCCTCATAGGAGGGGCTACAAAGGAGGAGGTCATCCACATATTGTATTACAGTGCTAGAGGTTGGGGAAAATTCAGATAAGTCTTGAGCTAAGGCCTGGCCAAAAAGTGGGGGCTATCCTGAAACCCTTGAGGCTGAGGATTAGTCCTGTACTAAACGGTATGAGCCATTAGGCTTTATAACAGGAAGGATGGGTGTATTGAAAGGTGAGTGGGTAGGCCATGAGAGATGAGAAGAAAGGAGTTTGTGTACCACGGGTTTTAAGCCTATTAGGTGTTTGTTAGTGATGGGGTACTGTGGGGAATCAGGGAACAAAGAGGGTTCCACAATTTAACAAGGATAGGGGAATGGTGCATGGCAATGGAGGGAGAAAAAGTGTCCCATACTAGGGATTAACCTTGCCCGAGGGGGAGGGGAAGGTGAAAACCTCAGGGGGAAGGTCTGGGGTGGCCTGTGACAGGAGTATTGTAGCTGGAGTTAAAGTGTTTAGGGTAAGAGTAGCTTTGAATTTGAAAAGGATGTCCTGTCCCAGTAAGGGGGTTGGGCATTGAGGCATTATTAAGAATTTGTGTGTGAATTGGGTGTGATGTAGGGTGCAGGAAAGAGTTTGAGTGATCTGTGGGTGGTTTTCTGATCCCATGACCCCTACTATTGTGATAGAGAATGGGGTTGTTGGTCCTGCATAGTCAGGAAGGGTAGAGTAAATGTCCCCTGTATCGATGACAAAAGAGATCGGCTTACCTGCTACAAGGAGAGTTATCCTGGGCTCATGCGTGGTGATCTCCATGGGGGCTTCAGGCCCTGGGTGTCATCAGTCCTCTTCCTGGGCAAGCCAAGAAGCTCCGGTAGGGATGGCTGTGAAGTCAAAGGCTGTAGGTTGGGGACTGGGCCACTCTCTCTCTGGCGAGTGGCACAGTCATCCCCCCAGTGACATGGCCATTTGTAGTGAGAATGGGTTATGACAGGTCCATGCCAAGTGGCCCGATTGACTGCATTTGAAGCAGTTCTTGGGTGGCTTGTCCCTAGAGTCAGCCAGCTTTGGTTATGTCAGCCATGGATGGCATTAGACAGGAGCTGGTATTTGGCCTGATATCTTTTATACTTTTTTCCAATATCAGAGGCTGACTGGGTAATGAAGTGAGAGTGTAAGAATGCTATGCTTGCAGGGGAGTTTGGATCTATATGTGTGTAATCATGTAAAGCCTCAGAGAGGCGGGTTAGGAACTTGCTGGGATTTTCGGTGGGTCTCTGTGTGATCTCTCTAAGCCTGTCATAACTACTGACTTGTGAGTAGCTTTTGGAGGCTGTGAAGTAGGTGTGCAATCATATTATCCTGGAGATCCTGATCCCTGTGGCCAGCCTGGTAGTTCCAATTCAGGTCCATGCAAGGAACAGCAACAGCTCCCACAGGCCACCTACTATTTTGAGCATGTACCTGAGCCACTATCCAGACCTGCTCCCTGTACATGGACTCAGACAATTCCTTCCAACCCAGCCACTTCATGGAAGGGTTATAAAAAGCTGGAGCTGAAGCAGGGTTGTTACCTGATGAAAGGGGAGAAGGGGAGGGGTTGAGCTGAGGACAAGCATCTGGAGGCCAGGTGTGGGGAAGAGAGAGAAATGTGGAGGGCTGACAGATCAGAAGATTGATCCAAGTCTGGAACGGGAGGTCAAGCATGAGCTGGGAGAATTTGAGACATAGGACAGTTTTGACAGAGAGAAGAATGCGTTCAGAGATAGAAGAAGGCTCGAACATAAGGGAGTCTCTACAGCTTTTGCCATTTCGGTGATTATCTAAATCGAGTGCCATCTTGTCGCCACTGGTATCCACTGTAATGAGGCGTTCGAGTTTTAATGTCTTCCTGGAGGCCAGGAAATTGTCCAGGAGACGGCCCAGAGGCATAGAGCACAGAGTACAGTAGAAAACGAGACGTTTAGGTTTAATGTCTCCCTGGTGGCCAAGAAATTGGCTAGCAGACAGCCCAAGGGCATAGAGTGTGGAGGTTTGGATTGTGGGGATCCCATGTAGCGGGTGAGAAAGGGTGTTCCTTGTTTTTTAACTGAATACCATAAGCCTCAAGTCCACAGTCTTCTTCAAACAATGCTAAGTAGAATTTATTAATTCTTCCTATTTTTTATTGTTTTAAATGGCAACTATGTATGGGAAGAGATAAAGGTTTTCCATTCATGATATAGTTTTCCTTCAAAATAAATGAAGTTTCAAAAATGATTCATTAAGTAAACAATTCTGGTGATGGTCATGGGCTATGACAAAAGTCATAAGGTTTGGGGAACCTCGTGAGAATCTCATGAGAACCTCGTGTTTGGACAGAGCCTTTCCATTTGTGAATAACACCTAAACTTTAACCAGCCTCTGCTATGGACGGGCCACTGTGAAAAGCACTTTCCATATCTGATCCATCACAACTCTGCAGGTAAGTGTATATGGGCCCATTTCACAGATGTGGAAACTGAGTCTCAAGTAAGTTAAATTTCATGGTGAGAGAGAGGAGAAGGCAGGATCTGAACCCAGGTCTAACGCCTGAAGCTCTGGGCTTTGTTATAGCATGCTGCATCTGGGTTCTTTACAAAGTGTGGGCTGCTTCTCATCAATCAGGGGATCTCCATGAAGAACTTTGGGAAAGCCTACCATAAAGGGCATTTATCCTCCGTGTCCTTCCCCAAGTTAGAGCTCAGAAGTTGTTCCATTTCTCCTTCTCTCTTCATTTGGTTCATGCAAGAGCCAGGGCCCATTTTCGATATTCTCATTCCTAGTCTGAACACTTCTTCCTCCCTCCAACACCATTTCTGTTCCATCATTATGGAAACAGCCCCGTCTCCCACCATCAAGTGGAATAACAAGTTTTGTCGGGAGGAGGCAGTGCTAGCTGACCTCAGTGCAAATTAAAACATATCAAAGAGTCTTAGTTTTAAAGTTGCCAGACCTCCATTGCCATAAAGAGCTCTATTTTCACTCAAACTCCAGCAAGAGATTAGCAGCTTGAAATCACTTTGACAGTGTCAGTTGCTCTATTGCATACCACAGAGAATTTTAATTCCAGCCTGTGAAATTGTAATTGCTTCTCAAGGAGAAGCACAGGATCCTGGGTAATGGCCACAGCCAAGCTCAATGTCAGAGTTGCCAGTTGCTGCCACATCAGATATGACTTGCTGTTATTCAAAAATCACTCCAGCTTTCCATACGGGAAGCCAAACTGGGGAGTGAAACTAAATTAACAGAAACTGTCAGCTGTTCAGAATAGTACAGACAGCAGTATGACAGAGGTGGGTGACTTCCCACCCAAAAAAGGTAACTTTTTTGCTTTTTTCAGTGAAGACAGAGTTTCACAAACAAATTTCATTACTTAAGGTATGCTGCTCAGTGATGTCATTATTAAGCAAAAAGTTATCTGGTCCATGGCATTGGTCAGAACAAAAGGTGGGGAGAAGGAGTCATGGAAAGTTTCTCAGGGCATGATCCCAACAGTGAAACTTGAAAGAAGACTGTGGAAATAGCAGAGGAAGGAGAAGGGGCTAAAAGGAAGACTGTGCAGGGCAGAAAGAAGAGCATGTGGAAGGCATAGAATTGTGAGCATGGTAAGATTAGGGAGCTGCGAGTGTTTGTAGAAGGCTGGAGCACACTGGGCTGGTAGTGAAGTTTAGAGAAAATTACACCAATGGTAAAAAAAAAAAAAAAAAAAAAAAAAAAAAAAGTGGCCCCAAAGAGTAATTAAAATAATGAAGATAACAAGTCCATGTCAGGACGATGCGTGCAATCGATTCAAATGACCTGCTATCAAAGTTAAACTGTCTGAGAAATTACTTCCTGGCTGTTTGGAATAAAGACAATCCGGAGCTACCACATATGATTACAAAACATTTAGGGGCCGGGAAAAGTACCTGCAGCGGGAGGGCCTGTTATCTGTCATTCTCTCTTCACAGGAGAAGTTCTGACCAGTACTAAGAGGTTCTGAAATAAATTCGTTTTTCTCCCCTGAAGGTTAGAATATTAACAGTTCATGGCATTGCCTTCTTGTTTTAGAAATTAGAGTAAATTCAGATGTGGGTTTTACTTTTTCTCATTTGATGATTTTTAGGGTGCATTTCAGGTATTAGAGTTGACTTTTCCAGTTAAAGGAAAATTTCCCTCAGAAGGTACGGATGCCCACTTCTTCCTGCTATCTTTCAGTAAAAGGAGGTGGCAAGAGGTTGGCTTTGTTTCTGTTATTATTTTTGAGTGTTATCTTATGTCATTACTCCTCTAAATTAGCTGATTGAATAATCAATGACTGTATGATTTTTTGCTTTTGTTTTTTAGTGGCTGGCTGGTACAGGAATCGAACCCTGAACCTTGGTGTTATCAGCACCTCACTCTAACCAACTGAGAAAACCAGCCAGCCCCTGACTGTATGTTTTCTTCCAGTGCAGAGTAAAATTTTGTGTTCCTCTAAGTGCTTTTGGCTGCCAAGAAGTTGTGTGTGTGTGTTTTCTTTTTTGCTCTAAATGAACAAAATCTCTTTATTATTTTATTTAGATGAGAGAAGAGTTTTAAAAAATCCTGTTTCCCTTTTTCCATCACCATAAATAATCTTATAAACTTATAGAGACCATAAGAGGTCTCCCTGGATCATTAGAATGGGCTCTAGAAAACATAAAAAATGTTGTTGTTTAACAAATCAGCTGAGGTATGCTGGATTTTGGTTTTTTTTCACAGTGAAAGACCAAGAGATTCCTTTACATAATGTGTGTGTAGATACATTGTCGCCCAAATCTTGGGGTCCAACTGATGGATATTTGGTGTGGAGAAGAGGCACCCCAATTAGACTCAAAGACCATGCCGAGCCCTTCTCCCATTTTTTCTGAGCCTTTGAAAACTCAGGTAGCTCCGCTGTTACTTTTTGGCAATCTGGTACCTAGGTATGCTCAGACCTCATTCCCATTCATTCATTCATTCATTCATTCATTGCTCAGCCTCTACTCTGGCATGAATAGATCAAGTGACACAATGGAGAATATACTAAATACAACTGAATAGGTAAGTCCAAAGTTCTGCCCCCGAACATCTCAGCACCAAAGAGGACACCTGGAATCCTTGTTCAGAAATGCCCCATCTAGAGGGGTGGCCTTAGCCCAGTCACTAACTCCTCCTAACCTCAGCTCTCCATCTGTAGAATAAGGAGGTACAACTCCATGGTTTCTGTGAGTCCCTCTTGCTCCTATTCTATCTAGGCTGAACTGCATGGGTCATTGCTCTGCCTTTTCAAAAAAGACCAGGTTCCAGATGAAGCAGAGAGACATACACCAAGTCCCTTTTACCAAGCACTGAGAAAGAGCAGTCTTTCCATGCAATCTACTCAAATATTACTGTTAGAAAGTTTAAACTCCCTGACACATTACAGAGAAACAGAGGTTGTTTAGGATTGATTATCAGAAGGCTGGTGGTGACTTTTGGGGGCTTTAAACTTGTGACTTCAATGTTGGATTGCCACAGGTTTTGCTCTTGACTGGAGTTACTGCAGCTCCTAAGACAGTTTGCCTTTGCCACATAGAATGAAGGAAAGCTGGTGTTAATTTGCCTTTTTTTTTTTTTCCCACTTCACTTGCCTTCTGATTTATATGTCTAAAGGCATTAAAAATATTCTTCAACTGGAACTACAACATTTTTAGCTACTGGATTTTCTTGTAGCTTTTTATAATTCTGATGGCCCAAGGCAATCTGGTTTGATAAGATTAAATTTTTCAGACTGGTATCCAACCAACTTTTGCTTTTCTTAAGATTGCTTTGGAACTTTTAACCTTTCTGCCTTCTGAAATCTTAGAGGATGTTGGGTTAAGAGGGAAAAAGAGAAGATGAA